GCCAAACATGGGTAAGGACATGGAGCAGGGGTTTGAACTCCCCACACTCCTAGAAGCGCAAGCTGGTACCACCAGGTGGGATGCCACAGAAATACCCAACAAAGTTGACAAAGGTGCAGAGTCGATGCCCAGCAATTTCACTTTCAGAGCCATCCCCTAGAGACATGGTTCCATGTGTGCATAAGAAGAATTGTATGAAAATGCTCGTGGCAGCAGTCTTCAGAATAACGGAACCACTGAGAACGTAAAAGTCCACCCGTAGGAGAATCATATTCCATTGAATTTATGTAGCAGTGAAAATAAAGGAGTTAGAGATGCACATATTAATATACATAAATCTCATAAACCTATATTGAGCAAAAAGATCAAATTGCAATATGCAAATAGCATAACACTAAAATGTTGAAAATCCACAAAATAGTAGTGTACATTATCGTAATTTCATATGAAGGTAGTAACAGTATAAAAATCATACCTAGGAATGGAAAACACCACAATTGGAATTGTGGTCACCTATAAGTAATAGAATCAGAAGCAATAAAGGGGGTTTCATCTCCATCAATATGATTTTATAAAGCATATAAATCTGAAGTGATATGGCAAATGGACAATATTTTTAGAAGTTGAGAGGGTGGTACATAAACATTATGTTGATTCATTTAAGAGTTTATTGAAACTGGGGCTCCCTGATGGTGCAAGGGGTTAAGCACCCCACTATGAAGCTGCCCGCAGCCTCTGCAGCACAAGTTCGATCCCCAACCGACCAGGGAGCAACCCACATGGCGCAGCAGACCTCTCCTGACTCGCCCACTACTCCCCTCATCAGTGTACTTTGGTCAATCTGCCTGTTCTGTTCCCCACTGTCGCTGGTGAATCCACTTACCCCCTACACCTCTGGCCTATACCCCAGCTCTTGTATGCATAAATAAATAAATCTTTTTTAAAAAAGAATTTATTGAAACATTTAAAGTAAAAATATTAGATGTATAGTTACTCCACTCCAGAGAGCATGATTACAAGATAACAGTGAAAAAATTGTAAATAGCACCAACAAGTTGATGTCAATATTGTGTTATAAATATACATGGAAATATGATAAAGTGATAATTGGACATAGTAAGATAACAGGGCGATTTAATAGCTGCTCTTTACATTCCACCTTTTTTTTTTCTAATGCACACATATTGATTTAATAACCAGAAAGAACATTTTTAATTTGAACATCCAATCTATGTATTAAAGTTATCCAAAAAAGATTCATGCGTGGTTCAATTACACAAGGCTGGTAGGTTTCCCAGACTCCAGATGATAGCGGGATTGCACCAGAATATTTTGTCATTCTTATTTGCACATTGCATATGTGAGTATAATTAATAGCTGCTTCCTTTCTCAAGCTGGTTCCCTAAAAAACAGATCTTGAAGACAAGTTTATAAAGGTGCAATCCCAGGCTGACGTAAGTTAGGCAAGGAAGAAGAGAACGGCAATGCCCTGGGTTCATGAGAAAGCACAGTAGAGGTTCAGACATGTGGGTCATTCCTGGACCACCATATTGAGGAAAGCCTATCTAGGGGAGGAAGGCAAAGAAATATATTTGCTGGTTACTTCCTGTCTCTCACTGATGAAAATTTGAACATGAATTCCCGAGTGCTCCCAGCCTGTCTCCTGAAGAGCACATTCCTCAGGCCGGTGCTTCTGGGTCAAGAATGATGGGAGGAGGGCCTCCCCTGGTGGCACAGTGGTTGAGAGCTGGGCTGTGAGGCTGCCTGCAGGCTCTGCAGTGCCGGTTCGTTCCTCAGCCTCCGGCGAGGGTCCCACACACACAGAAAAATGAGTGATGGGAGGAACGAACACTTCAATGTCTCCAGTGCAATGGACACTGGGTGACTGGGTACTCGTGGTGGCCACTATGGGGGCAAGGGAGGGGCTGAGGGGTGAGAGCCAACTTGAGCTGCCCTCATCATGAAGGAGGCCAAGACAACAGGGCATACTGGGAGCAGAAGTGACAGCCACAGTGATGGACTATTCATATAGCAGCCACAAGCCTGGGAGCAGTGGACACTGAGCAAATCTGGGGATGTAGGGCCATCAACGTGTCCTGCCATGTGCCCACACTCACCTCTCCCATGACATCCAACTCTCCTGAGAGCAAGATGCCCTCATTTTTTGCCCAAAAAGAAAAATACAAGTCCAATGTCCCTGCAAACTATATTCTGAAAAAAAAAAAGAGCAGGCGTGTTAGCCAAGCCAAGCATTAGAACAGCCACATTTCCAAGTTTTTTATTTTTACCTCAATACCATGAAGATGTTCTGACATTTCTATCTTGTTTCCTGTAAGCCAACATCTGGGAAACACCCCCAGGTAGTCAGACTGGCTCCAGATCATCTTTACAATATTGAATCCGCAGTCACAGTAAATACCCAGTCATGAATTCCCCCATAAATAGTATTAATATTCTGTACTACTTAATCTAACACCCTGATCTATCCATACACGTTCCCCTGCAGATTCTGCCAGTGTACAGTAATTTCTGGGCACATTGACTGTTCTACCAAGATCAGGGTTTTCAATTCACACAAGGCTGTACTGAGTCCAGCGTGGTTATCACAGACATGATGATGGGTAGGGTAAGGTAGGGTAGGGTTGGGGGATGGAGGGAAAATATCTTAAGAATAATCATCATTTTGCAAAGTATCTGCATCAGGTGAAGTTCAGGCAGGGTTGAGTCTTCTTCCTGGGGATACAGTGCTTCTGCATTCCAGGAGGGGCAGGGAAGTTATGGTTCAAAACTCTTGCTCTATCTTCAAGAACCCCAAGGTAACAGATGGCCCATCAGGGCCCTGATTTTGCAGAAGGAATCCTATTCAGGTCACACATTTCCTATGCTCTGCAGCTCTGCCATCCATATAATTGCAACCTGGGCCCGAGTTTTCAGCCATTCTCCCTGTGGCTGCAGGAGGTGAGTAGGTTTGGAAGCTGCCTTCCAAGCACTCAAATGGATAAACTGTTTTCTAAGCAAGCCATTTTCCTTTTTCAAGGCCAGTGCTGCCCACCACAGCTATCCCATACAACATCTTTACTTATATCGCTGTCACTATGCACCTCATTCAGATCCACCAGAGAGGCTAGCCTTCTGATTTTAATGTTGCTGGGATGTTATCCCCACTTACTAAGAGCTGTTGGCAATCTGATTTCAACATCCCAGCCAAAAGGTCTGCTTTTCAGTAAACTTCTGGCATTTATGGTCTGCCTGGGGTTTCAAAAAGGACAGTTTGAGACAAAGCTTACATGCTAATATTTTATTGATAAAATATCTGAACATCAGGAATAAAGGAAAATAAAATTTGACTTGGGGAAGGAAAGAATTAGAAAAAAAAAAGGTGGAAGGTGAAAGGTGGCTGCTTAAGCAAACAGGTGGTCTGTTCACCTGCACAGGTGAGTTCTTGCATCACCTTCACTGCCCCAGGCTGACCCTCTAGGACATTCTCCACACCCCACTTCCCTGTGAGCTGTCACCCAATCTTTTAGGTCTATCGCCCTTCCGAAAGGCACACCCTGCACCCCAGGGTGTGCATTTCAGTTGAATCCAGAAATGGTGGGAGGGGCACCAGCTCTCAGTGGCCCGGGACACTGAAGGTTCCCACTGAGCAGGTGGCAGCCACATCCCCACAGTCCGCTGAGTGAGTGGTCCCAGGCTGTGGAGTAGATGTGCCCAGTGAATCTGGGATCTGATTCACCTCCCCAACTGCCTGGCTCACATAGTATCTCTAATTCTCCTACCCAAGGGGTTCAATTTTATTAGTGTCCTTACAGAAAAACAAAACAGGTTTTCTGCCACATACCTGACAAGCAGTTGAACCCCGGAGTGTCTAAAAAGCGGTCTGTGTGCCCTCTCCAGGCAATGCTGTCTTTGTCCTGGTCTCTCTCCACAATGCACAACTAACTGCAGCATGTCTGCCATTGCAAAACTTTGAAGCAAAGGATGGCAATAACTACTACCAAACATTTTGAAGTTGGGATGGTAAGGCCTGGTGGTGGTGACAGTACATCCATTCAGTACATCCATTCAGGCTCTCAAAAAAATTTTCTTCTACACACGGACACAACAAATGAGGTTCATTAAATGGGGTTATGTTTTGACACGAGCTTGGGCTAACATCATAAAGACCTCTTGAAGTTATTCCTTAGCAAATCTTTGCCGCCCATCTATTATTTTGATGTATTGCCATCTCACTGATAAAATGTCCAAGTCTTTACATCAGTTACCCAGAGTCATGTGCATGTAAACAGCATTTATAATGTAGTCTTCTGACCTCCAGAAAGCAGGATGCTGAACCAGTAACAGCAGGCAATGCCAGTGCAAGGGGGAAGGAACTTCTAATAAATAGAAAGTCAAAAGTTTCCCTACATTAGAGAATTAAAAACAGGCTTTCAGTGGCTAGCCTATTTCACTGGCAAGTGGAGAGAAATTCTTTTTGCCTTGATTCAGTCAATTAAGAGGTCTGGAAAATTATTCAGCTTTCACCTTATTTTATAATATACTCAGCCTTTAAATTTCTGTCATCAAAGATCATCAAGCACAAATAGAAATTACTAATGTACCAGGGAATCATAGAATGAATAAAATAATTGAAAATGGGAATACTAGAGATGATCTTGCAGGATCTATTATAATGTTTCAATAAATAAACACAAGTTCCTTAAGTAAAAAGTTCCAGAGCTAGCAGGTACCTTTGAATGATCACACAGGACTTTTAAGTATGGTTATTAAAAACCCATAAACATGCCTGAGTGCATAGCAAAAATAGAGAAAAAACAAAAACAGAACAAAATAGCCCTAGCTCAAAATCTACAAAGAATCTTCCATAACCTTCAACCCAAAGACACAAACACTACCACAGAATTTTATTTTTACTTTATTAACAATGTGGCTTACAATTTTTTCAAGTAAAAAGGGTTTTTATTTAGAATAAAAATTAAAATATAACTCTGATATAGATTTTCACTTATTTACATGAAAACATATATACAGAATACAATCTTACAGCAAACTAACAACATGCCCTTTGTCCTGCAAATCTCAAAAGTAAAAACATCAATTTTTCCCTTAAACACCCTAAAACATACACGAGATGTGAGTCAAATTCAATACAAATGATTCAAACTGGAATGCAACTCAGTAAAAGGGCTTTTGATTGACGACTGGAGACAGTTCAATGCTTTCAGAGATCATGCTAGCTCCCATTTTGAACAGCAAATGAGATGACTATTTTTTGTCATTTAAAAAATTTTGTCTCTAATTTCCCATCATAAGGCGATTTTCAGCAAACAATTGTCCCAGAACTTGACCTTTTCTTCGGTGCATCTCTTCGGCCCACACTGCAATTCTGTGCTGGGCTGTGTGATGAGACTCACATCCACACTTGTACCAAATCCCAGCCATTCAAACAGAACCAGTACGATGGAAAAACGACAGTTCAGGAAATTACTTACTGCTTATCATCTCAACTAAAGATGACCACAACCAAGGCAGCAGTATGTGTCAGCAATTACAGCTTTTAAATGAAGTGGGTCAAAAATAGAATTTGATTTTATCACATCCTATTTTGGATACTGCTAAACCAACTCCAGTGACAGAAGCTAAGAGAATCAATCAACTTAAAAATTCAACCACATTAAAGGGAGTAAAGCAGTTTCCAGAAAACTTCTAAACAGAAAAGGGTAAATGAATGAGAATCATTAAATTGTAAGTCGCCAAAATAGCTTTCCCTTGCTATTCAGTTATTGCACCAAGGAGACACGGGCAGTATTTTTATCTCTAATGATTTCTTCCTTAAAAACTACACATACCTTAATTTACTATTTTCCCTTCAAATAATTGCACACTTGATCATAGCTTTCTAAAGAGGGAAGAGAGTACTTGGAGCCTACATTCACCATCTTACCCAAAAAAGCAACAATGAAGCTCAAACCACAAAGATTTTATCACTACTGGTTTTTCTTTTAGTTCTATATACAGAAATAAATATAAATGGGTGCTCTACAAAATAAGTATGAAAACCCCTCGTGCTTCCAAAATGAAGGGTAACAGCTCTTAGAAAGAGGTGTTTGGTATAAGATAATAGGCAAATCAGCACTTGCCTGATACAACAGTCAAAATTCTATGAGACAAATTAGAAAACTGAGACCAATCTTCAAAGGCTGATCAAAATCAACCTAGAAAGAATCGTGAGGGTCGGAGGTTAAAGGTTGGCGTCGTCTTAATGGAACAAATCAAAGTGAACACAGGAAATGATCTTTCAAATCTGATCAAGTAAAGCAAAGCAACCTAACAGCTGTACAGCTCAAGCACTGTATGTGAGTCAAACTTTGATCAACTGAACCTAATTTTAAAAGTGACAGATAAGTTTTTCGTGCTGTGGAATTCCACGGTGAGGGCAACTAACGTTATTTTTTATGAAAAGCAGAGATGTTCTGTAACACCAGTCATACTGTACTCTTTTAGGTTTTTATGTGTATGTTTTTGTGTATGGGACATTTTTCAAACACGGTCAAAAATGCAGTCAAGTAGTTAGGAGCTGAAATAAGCTCCGTTTGCTGTAGGTCACTATCGAGTGATGGACATCTATCATTAAGGATGAGTTGGCATTTCTGCTTCCCAAGTGACACAGAATGTACCGATCACAAGGTGTCTGCTGGGCCAGGAGAGGAAAAACACACTTCTCGACCAGTTCCAGGAGTTAATGAGCGGCACGATATAGGTAGAACTCAGAAACAGAGAGACGAGGACTTTGGTCCCAAAATATTATCAAAGAAAGACAAAGGAGAGATCATAAGTGTCCAGAATTGGATGGGGAGAGACATCACTTGTTGGGGTGTTTTGAGCAAGAAATACATGGTTTAGTGGGGTACACATGTACAACCTACTTTTCCTGCCAGAACAAAGACATTGCAATACATTCCTTGGAAATTGGCCCTATTTCTAAAATGGAAGCTGGTGAGGTGAATCGTATAGAGCAATGGAAACCACCTGACAATTCTATTGCAGAATTGCCCCTGATGTGGAAAGTACTCCAGCATGGAAATCCCCCCAAAATCCAAGTTCTGGAGAACGTTGGCAACACTCAGAAAAAAAGCCTATTCTTGGTCCTAAAATGTTTCTTGGCTCAGAGGGGCCAGGAGATGGTATGTAGATACCTTCAGGATGAGCACCCCAGCTGCTGGAGCCACGTCCTCCTCACCAAGCACACACAAAGCGGAAGCCCACGATGTGAATGATCCCTCACCGAGAGCCCGAGTGTCAGGGTGGTCTTGGCTTGGAGCCCCGTGATGGCTGGGTCTTGCCTGGGCAGCCCGGAGGGAGCCAGCCTGCTTCAGGTGGGAGAAATGTCCAGAAGAGCTCCTAGCTCCAGTGCAGCCCTCTTCCTCCGAGCCTTTACTTGAAAGGGCAAGAGAGGGTGGTAGTCCTCCTGAAAGTGCAGCACTGCGTTGTAGCTACCACATTCCTTCATTCCCATTTCAAACATAACAGAAATAGCTCAGCTTGAAAAGGCCACAGTGAAGAATCATAAATGAGTCAGTGTGGGGAAAATGCCAAAGATCTTGAAATGGGTACCCTTTCCGATTGTTTGATAGAGTTTAACTGTACAAGACTCAGCATTTAAGGCCAAAAGCATGTGGCTGAGGAAGCAGGGATAGGAAACTGAAAGCAGGTCCAAACTTTAGCTTCGAAGAAGGACATTGAACTGCAAGTGAGCCTGTGTCACGTGAACACGGCCACCCCAACTAGGACATGGAGCTTCCATTCCAGGACCCTGGGCAAAATCATCTGCTAATTGTTTAAAAAGGACAGCATAAATCAGCAACAGGGGAGATGAAAATGTCTCAGCTGCAAAATATCTGCCTTCCATTTTCATCTGAAACATCGATAGCATGTTAATAAAGGTTAGCATTTGTAATCAGACTTTTCAAATCTGACAGATAATCACATCTTAAAATGTAACAGAAAAATGAGCTGCTTGTAAGCCCAATAGACAATATTCCTGGAGTGGTTGAGAGTCTAATCAAAGCAAAGATCAAGGCGATTGTGGTAGAAAAGTAACAGAAGGGTGAGCAGTCTCTGCTGCCCTTGTCCACTCTTGAATAATCTGAAGATTTCGTTTCCTTGCATAAGTTTAAAAAGGCAATTGGGCGATGACCACAGCAGGATAGAGAGGACTGGGTTTGAATGAATACGTGGAATCACACACAAGCACTTACAGATGAGTGGTTGCTGCAGAAGACCAGCCAATCCCCAGAGCCATAGTTCTTGAGAAAGGACTAACTGACTTTATGATAACCAACTTCAAGAAATGTCACCCAAACCAGAGTGTGCTAAAGGAATCACAGACTCAAAAGCTGTGGCCAAACACTTCAGTTTCATTTACTTTTCCTTGTTTGGCTACTCTGGACTCTTGCCTGACAGCCTGAGTGGGGTGGAGATGAGGGGATGTGTGTTTGCAGCCTCAATCCCAAGTGTTGCAACCTGTTGCTTCACAGGAATGGGGTCCAGAGTGGTTCAAAGTCACTGAGTTAGGCATCAGCCACAGCAGGATAAGAACCAGTGATGGCAGGCCCAGCGTGAGCCACACTGTGTCCTGCCAGCATGCAGGATCACCTATATAGTTAAGGGGTGTTCCAGGATGAGCTGAGCCAAGAGGGTCCTTATCCAAGGGGACCACCCCACTAGCTCTGCCACAGTGATCCTTCTACAGGGATGTAGCTGGTTTCTAAAAAGCTTCCCTCAAGTATCTTCCTGCTCTAGATCTCCAAAATTAAGCTTTTCCTTCATTATAGAACTCGGCAAATAGCACACCTCTCTACACTTCTCTCTAAGTGTCTGTCACTCAAGGAAAACTGTCTCATGACAGTGGCCACTGCCCACTACCCTCCCCATGCTTCCGAAAGGCACCTCTGACAGAAGAGGCAGGTCTAGCCACCTTTGTATAATTATATCCTCTAACATCACCTACAGTTGTGTTTGCGAAAGGAATCGCCACCAAGATAAAATGGCAGTGGCAGCCACAGCCACTGGGCGTGGATGTGAAAGAAGCATCAATCAGTGTGCCTGAGAGTGATCACAGCAAAATCTACCGGTAAGGCGTCCTCCTTGGTCACTTTCAGAAAGACAACAATGGCACCTTAGCTTTCAGAAAGAAATGCGAGCGTAGGTTTAGGAGACTGTTCACAGGCAGCTGCCTGCTCTGGGCTGGAAGGAAGGTGAGTTGTGGAGGTACAAAGAAGTGTTTCCATATCCTGGCACAAAATTTTAATTCACTCTCCAGAAGTCATTGCTGGGGGACACGGGTGTGCTTTAAAAACATGGAATATCAAATGGGCTGGTGGATGAAGGAGGTCCTTTATGTGTCTCACTTTTCCATGATACTTGGCATATGTATCATCTCTTATATCCCAGAAAAAGAAAGGTTGCAGTCCTGAAAACCTTCCCAAGACACTGCATCAACAACGTAATTGGCTGCCTGCCTGCTGAGGAGGGCAAGTTAGTTGGCATACTGGGCGTAGAAAGCCACTTTGACCCTCTCAATCTGATGGCATAACTTGATGGCAGGCCCCAGTTTCAGCTCCATGCACTCCTGCACCGTCGGGAGAGTCAGCAACAGGAGCGCTTGGCCATCGATGTCCTGTTGGGAAATAAAGTCAGGTTAGAGAAGAGAGTGTCACCAAGTGTATGGAAAATGAAGTTACTCAAGGCTCCTTTTCGCCTCCTGCTGCCAGCCTCTACAGCTGCCACCTACAGCTTTATTTTCCTCCGAGGTTGCATTACCCACATGTAGTATCATGTTAATGAAAAAAGCACTTGGGTGTATAAGCTTGGGGCACACATTCCTATGACTGCGGACACACGGACAGAGAAGATAGGAGAGAATGGGTTGTGCGCATATGTAAATGTGGACCCTGGGCCAAAAAGCAGGAGGTAGGAGAAGCTAGAGAGTGCAGAGATGTCGGGGGCTGGGAGAATGGGCTGCTGCCTCCCTCCCAGCCTCCCTGCCTGCTGGTCTGCTTGTGTATCTGGTCCCTTGCTTCAGCATTAGAGGTCTGTCAAATCTACCGAGGGCTCCAAGATTATTTTCAATCTGCCTGAATCAACCATGAACCCTCCCCAAGCTGGGATGGTTGCATGAAACCAAGGCTTCCTCCCAGGGGCCCAGGGCATGAAGGGTCTGCTCTGGTTTCCCCTGATTCGGAAGAGAACTGGCAGAGATACCAACTTGGCTTGATGACTGGGCAATCTTTTGATTCACAAAATGTTTCTAGTAAGAAAATCTTGGCTACTTTGATGTGTCTTTCTATCTCTCCCCCACTCCTGCCAAGGTCTGACATTTCACCATCAGAATGGTGAGAAGATGCTAAAGATCTGTGCCAGCTGTACAGCACAGCTCTCCACAGAGGAAAATACATGTATTTATTCATGTGCATTCATGCATGAGAACACACACACACACACCCTACATCAACATACTTACATCACCCAAATAGGGTGTGATCTCTATATAGGTCTGCTTTCCTATTTTGACTTGCTTAGTTCTTCTACAGCTACACACGGGGCTCACAATGAAGATAATTTATTAAACATCATTAAATGCTTTTGCTGCAGGAAATAGGATACAAAGTCTTACCCCAAAGCTTCAAGCCCACTCCACTGGGCATCTTCACTTGCTTTCTATAATACTCAGGTTTATTCATGTCAATGTCGATGACTGGGATACTGAGTTTAGCTGCAACCCCTTCTCCCTATTCACCGGTTTTCAAATTCCAGAGGAAATAACTGAGGCTTCATAACAACCAAGAGACTTCTAAGGTACTGAGAAGGATCAGTGGGTGAAGGTGAGTACAGTTGAACTCAGCTCACCAGGGTATCTGCCACTTGGAGATGTTTTAGCCTGGGCTGTCATAAGCCACAGAGTTACTTAAGCCCTGTAATTTTCTGCAAGCACCTATCTGAGAAAATATCAATTAATTTCGCATAGGTATTTTCTTAAACTAAAGATTTCTTAGCTTAGTAAAAATCCCAAAACGGGCATAAATGTGAGCCTTGGGAGGACTGATAACGTTAATAAGCATAATGCATCATATGATCAGTTTTAAAAGTCACTTTCCCTAAATAAACACAGCAGCAATAAAAATTAAGCATTAACTAAAAATTATTAATGCAAGAGCAATTTATTATTTTTTAATTATGCCTGAGCATTTGCTATGCTATATGCAACTATAAGCCATGTCTTTACCAAGGCTTGTCATGAGCTTGTCAAATCATCAAGCAAACAGATTTGTCTTGAATATACACTGAAAATAGGAGATAAACTAATAAAACTGATTCCACAACATGTTTTCATGGAAGCTATTTGGGAGTTTCACCAGAGAACTTTGGCCAAAAAAATCCTGTTTTGTGCCTCCTCACTAAGGTGAAGTTCATGGGCAGTCCAGTGCCGTCCCTGCATCACATCCAGAAAAAGTGTGCAGAAAGGCAGGTCTCCAAAGCCAGCAGGGTTTGGGAAAGTTGCCACAGTTACATAGCAAGCTTCTCAGACCAGGTGCAACCAAAGAAGAGTGATGCTCAGGAGCCTCTGACTGGCATTCTCTGACCTTTAGCAAATCAGTCTCCTCCTGCCCTCCAGTCCTAACACAGATTTACCTATCATCGCAAAGACAAAGTGAGTGAGGGAGACTTCACAGCTCTACTTCTTTCTGCTCAGCCAGCAGCAGTGGTGAAAGGGTTCAGTTCATAAGAGGCTTTGGTTTTGAGGTCATGGTTGGGAGTCGGGGGACAGTCCACACTCAATGGAGTGGCTCTCAAGTATGAGCTACCCGAAGTGGATGGAATCGAGTACATGTCTTTGAACTTCGGCTCTTAAGAGTGGGTTGGATATGAGTCTCACGATGCTTCACATAGAAGCCCTTATATCTGTGACTACCAGAATTGAGGAGGAAACACAGCAGCAGGATTTGGCTGCACAGAAACCACTATTTGTAGGAAATGAACATTAGAGGCTGGGTGCTGGATTAAACCTAAACCACTGGATTAATTACAGAGATCCTTCACCCTGCTTTTTATCTGGGAAGAACTGACCAATAATTAAAGTGAGGAAATGAGGTTTCAGTGACCAAACCAACAGTTCTCAACTCATCTACCATCTTCTCTAAAGATGTCATCATGTTGCAGAGTATACTGTGCCAAGAATAAAACTACACCTCTGATTTCCACACTTCCAAGGGTAGCAACGTCTGAAGAGCTTTAGGTTTAGCAACCTAACCATCAACAGTCACTGACGTATATGAACAGTGGTGGCAGCTCAGTGACATCAAGACAGAAGTTGAGTGACATGTACCTCCTGACTGTTCGTGCTGCAGAGGGCACGTAACCAGTAGCTACACTTGTTCCCACATCAGGGCGGGAGGGCAAGATGGACACAGAAGAGCAAAATCAGGCCAATGACAGACGCATGGGGAGTGAGGAATCCCACCAACAATCCTGCTTAGAGGTAGCTTTTTTTTTGTTTTGAAAGAAATTACTTATTTCATTGATTATGTAGTTACAGATCCCACAGCTGATATAAGTTTTATAAATATGCTCCTATATAATTCAGAACTGCTGGCAAATTGCTTTTGTTATACACAGAATTACTGTAAGTAGACGTCTTATCTTTAAGAAATGAAACGTAACATGAAAAGTATGCTTAGCAAGATGGAAATATTAAATTAATTTTGATGTAGAAGTCAGATTAGGACTTGGTAGTTCCATAATGGGGATTTTCAGGTCTACAAAGGTAGAGAGGGACCAGTCTAAATGGAAAATAAACTTGTAAACTATGTTGAAATTCTTTTATCGAAAGTAAATCACTCATTGGTGTAGTTTGCTTATTGATTATATACCTATATACCTGTTCATAAATGGTGAATAAGTAGGAATTTTATTTAGATTTTTATGGGCTTTTAAAAAAGTTATAATGTGTGTATTTGCAGCTTGAAATTAGAGTATAGATTTTTAAAGAAGTTGCCATACTATTTCAGAATTAAAAGGCATGCATTCCAGTAATGGAGAGTTTATAATTTTTGTAAATGCTCCTGGTATTACAATAGTCTCTGAATTCATAACACCCAGAGGAGCGAGCGCACACAGCGATGATCAGTGCCTGCCCCGTGATTTCTCTCACATGTGGTGAATAAAGATGTGAGCTCCTTCTAGCTTGCCTAAAAGCTCATATGACACCTGGAGTGACCCACTGGAGGCCTCCCCGACTCAGGACCATGGCAAGTGGGCTCAGAGATGATAGAACAAATTAGTAAAAATTAGTAATTCAAGGTCTGATTGAACAGTAAAGAACTCAAGTGCTTGTGCATTTCTGAGCTCAGTGGGGAACAGGCTTTATTACGACAGGTAAAATGGTCTAATGTGAAATTTAAAATTAAAAGGGAATAAGGTCATTCTCAATTAAAGTCCACCTATTTTCTTCTCTATGTGAGAAATAAGTAGGTGTGTAGGACCAAGCTTTTAACTGATGTGAGAAGGGTAAATAAGGTGGGGTGGGGAGTGCCCACACACTGCTTGAACCAGAAGTGGGGACATACAAGGAATACTCACTTCTTAGAAATCTGAGCTTGGGAAGGCATGAGGCTTTCTGGACATTATTATAAATTGGGCTTAGAAGCACAATTAAGGGAGACAATATAAACAGAATTTTAGCCATTTTTTACCCAAATCAGCTTTGGTTTTACTTCCTTGCTTATTGCTAGAAACTTATCAGTATCAGCACATGACTGCTGGCCTCTCAGCGTTCAGATGATCTTGAGCTTCTGCAACCATGCAGGAATCTAGGTGGGAAAATCTCTTGTCCTTGTTTACTAAATAAACACAGCTTATATTTATTATATGGGACATGATATATTTTTAAAACACAAGGTCTTGAAAAGGAGGTATTTACATTCTGAGACAATGCAAGGAATTTCAACAAATTAAGCAAACACTGTAGAGCCAGAATCATAGGCTTAAACTTGCACTTTCTATTCAAGACTAGTAAGAAATCTGTTTGCAAGGTGGCCTATGTTTACAGAGGGGAATTGGGTTTTCATATTAACTTAAGGGAAAATGAAAATAAAAGTTCCTTTTTTTACAGCATATCAGAGCATGTCTAACATTTTATAATTATAATTGTATAATTATAATCTGGTACATTAAAAATTCCTTAAGGTGTAATTTATACCAATTGCTCTCACATCTATCTACTCCTCACATACCATAGGTTTTAAAATCTTTTACAAAGAAAGCACAAAATTGAGATGAAAGTAGCATGAAATAAAGCACAGTTGGACCAAAGCCCTCCACTTCTGGAAGACCAAGCTAACAAACTTTTCCCTATTCCTATGCTGTGTATGACTAAAAGGTCTGGATATTACACATAAGATCAACATAAGAAAACTCTAAAAAGTGGAGACGGGCCTCCCCAGTGGCGCAGCGGTTGAGTGCTGGGCTGCAGTGCTAGTTCGATCCCCGGCCACCGGGCGGGGGTCCCACATGACGCGCAGACCTCTCCTGCCGCCTGCTGCTCCCCTCAGCAGTGTACTTCATCAGTCTGCCTGTTCTGTTCCCTGCTCTGGCTCTGGTGAATTCTCTCACCCTCCCGTGCTTCTGACTGTACCCAGTGCTTGTATAAATAAATAAATAAATCTTTAAAAAAAAAAAAAGTGGAGAGAAGGCAGAACTATGGAAGGACCCAAGCTATGAGATGAGTCTTTTGGTTTCTTGGTTTGCCACTTATTTGCAAGACTTATTGCTAAAAGAAGCTGGCAATCGTGACATGCCAGTGATAGGACAAAAAGACATTTAACAAAAGTTCACTCTCCCCAGTCAAAGGACCTGGAAATCCACTGCAGGACACAAGCCCTCTCCCTGCACACCAGTAATGGCCAAGAGAGGTGTGACTTCAAGGCTGGCAGACAGCATCAGGCCCTCAAACCCCACATGAAGAGGAAATCTGAGAAGGCCAAGAAGAGAGGTGGGACCTCAATCTCCACCTGATGACAAAGACCCCTCCCATGGAAGTTCAGCAGGAACCCCTGTGGAGCCAGCCCACAGCAACCCTGTCCCCCTCTACAGCAGGAAGGAAGCTCGCTAAAGCAGCAGGTGACTAGAGACCCAGGCCCCAAAGAAATAGCCAACAGGTAGCAAAATCAGCTTACCTGTTCCTGAAATATTTTGGCCAACGGGGCACAGTCCGTCAGTTTAATGAACCTCACCACGTCGGTCACTGTCCACTCCAAGGGGTTGCTGTCCAGAATGAGTCTCTCCTCTTCCTCTTGCTTTATTTCCTGCAGAGGGAAGGAGATAAAAGGTTACACTGTCTCTGGTGGTGCAGGACCCTCTCTAAAACCCTAGGCCTGAGCCTCCTCCCTGTGGTTTCTCACCAGGTAGGGAGAAGCACAGCCTTCCAGGCTCTAGAGCTTTCTTAGCAACTAAGCGGATCAGGACTTTGCCTGTAATCACTCTTGTGCCTTTAGAGGTTAAAAAAAAAAAAAAGGCACAGTGTGAGCAGGTCCAAGTTCAGGAAAGCGATCACGGACACACGCAAATGCAGAATGGGCCAGGGTCGCCCCCCCATTTATTTCTGTAATGACCACATCAATGATCTTTCATCTGATTATATGCCTCTGGATATTTAGGGGAGACCCAAGTAACTTTTTTATAGGACACATCACAGAAGTAACTTATAAAGGGCCCATGAAGGCTTAATCTGTTCTAACAAGAATTCTTTGTGATTTTTAAATCCTCCCAAAAAAGAGGCGTTGCTACTTCTCTCAGAGTTTCATTCTCATGTTAACCAACCAAGCCTTTTGTCCTTACCTCATGAACTAAGCTAAATTTTTATTTTTAATATTTTAAACAGGGATCCTCAGATAGAGCACCTCCCACCCCCAAGTATAATGCATTTTCTTTGTAAACACAGAAACACTCTGCCTTCAGGCAACACCAGACAGGCCAGTCCCTGGGCCCTAGGGCTGTACCTCGGCTGTGTCGTGGCCGGCTGCCGGGCCCTTATCGCCCTTGTCACCGCCCTGGGCACCTGTGGGGGGCTGCGTTTTGCGCCCCCTGCGCACCCTCTCCAGGGGTGGCCGGCGCTCTGGTTCTGAGTTGCTTCTTAGGGTGACAGCCCTGCGGGGCCGGGCAGAGGGGACCTCAGCAGAGGAGGTGTCTGTCTGGTCATCCCGGAGCTCGGAGCCAGTCTCCTCACTTCCAGTGTCCTCCTCCATGGCATCTGCATCCTCTTCTTCACTTTCCTAGGAAGAAGGGAAAAGTGCTGAGGGAGGTGGACAGCAGGGGTCTTTGGGTGGTACAGGCGGAACTGCAGCTTAGCTGCAAGCTGGGTACTAAGCCTGACTCCTTTGCTGATGGGGGAGCCCTGCACAAACCACCTTATGAGGTTTGTCCAAGCAGGCCTTTGACAGCCCAGCCAATGGCCCCACTCATGAGCCTGACAACAGTAACCCCCCGCCCCCGACACACACCCCCCCTAGCTAGAGCAGCTGTGATGTTAAATTTGTTTTCAGCACAGAAGGAGGGGGCTGTTACTGGTATGTCATGTTTATAATCATCCAGCATCAAGTTTCAGCTGGGCCTTCCCACAAGCCAGGGCCTTGCATCCCAATCAAACGCTAGAAGGTGCTTTTGGGTAGAACTTACATCCCCAGAACCGGCTGCAAAGTCCACAGTAGAAGACCGTCGTTTCTTCTGCACAAAAATGGATTTCCGCCGTTTCCTACGTCTGGCTGGCTTAGGGTGTCCGCTCTCGATGTTGCTTTCCCCAATTGGGGGTTTGATGATCTTCTTTCTCTTTCCATAATAATAGGCTACAAGGAGAGAGAAGATTAAAACTTTTGTTAAAAAATTATCCACATAATTATATATTTAATTCATTTTGATTCAGATGAGACTTTCACTGCTTCTGAATTCTATAGCAGAAAGGTATGTCTATGTTAATATTCAGAGCACGAGTTAGAAAATAACCAACTTGCAATAAAGATTGATGTCTTTTATAAACTGAATGTATAATCAACAAATTAAAACCACTAAGAAGGAACCAGTTTTCAATTATGATGATGCTCAAGACAGCTTAATCATTAACCAAGGCCTCAACTGTCCTGCATGTGACTCCTGCTATTGCATAAAATAGGCAAATGAGGCACAGGACACTTCACTTTGGCTGGAGGAAGTCAAAAGACAGCCATCAAAGTGCACAGCCCCGAAGTGACAGAGGCTACCCTCACCCTGCCTTGGGGCACGGTGTCCACTGTTGATTCACACAGGGAGTCACCAGGCCTCTGGACCTAACCTCCTTATAGACAAAATGAAGCCAGAGTACTAAGCAGTGCAGTTTGCCTTGAGGACAATATTCTGTACTTCTGATTCCTCTTGCCTGATTTTGATCCATAAGGATGGAAGTTTGAATCACTGTTGAGAAACCAAATAACAGCAGCCATGTAAGTCACAGAAGATACACCTGCTGCACAGTATCTGCAGGCTCTCGCCAACCTCCTGAGGTGGGAAAATGCAACAGAACTTGAAACCACACCCCATCTGCAGACCTACTGGGACCACACTCCCAGATGAGCATAGAGCACTGCTGAATGGTGATTTCTGGTGTAAAGTGCGTAGGAAGAAGCACTGTTCACACCCAAAGGCCCCAAGGAGTACTCAGGTCTGACACTGTCTGGTTGTTTTAGAAGCAGGAAGCTAGAAATCAGAACTGGTTTTACCAAATGCAGCCAAAGGTGTGGTGCATTACTAGAGCCTTAGAAACAGACAGGGAAATCATAGTCCTTGCTTTCATTCCAGCAATGCAGTGCTCTGTTCTCCCACTACAGCCCTGCAGTTTACTCTGCAGCAAAATATGCACTGTCAGGTGACCCAAGAGATCTCAGGAATTTGCAGTTTTATAATACCAGACCCAGAAAAACCTTCAAGTTGATTTCAATTGTGTTTGAGTTGTAACAACCTGCCTCTTCCCCTCTCATTTCCCACATCCTAAAAGTACACAGAGGCCCATTTTTAAGATAAACATTCAAGGCCAAGTTCAGCCCTCAGTCAAGTCCTTTTTGAGTCAGAAGCATCTCTTACTGAATAGCCTGCTTCAGGGAGCCCCTCCTCTGGCTAAAGGTGATGTGATATGGATACAAGTTCTTCAGAGAAGACAAAATATACCAAGAAGCCCAGTTCCTCCATGAGGGACCCTGTATACAGTTTGAAATGGGGTTCAATGTGACAGAGAAGGTCACTGACTTCGAGCAGGGATGGACAAGAAAACAGATTTTTGAAAGGTATCTAAAACAGAAGGAAATTTGCACTCTCAAGGTCCCAAGTCCCTTCAGATCCCTGGTTCTGACATACACACTGACAAATTCCAACTACTGAGACTCACAGAGCACTGGCTGCTGGCACCCCAGCAGCTGCCTGGACACGGATGGCAGAGGAAGTAGGCAGTGACTGTAACCTGGACAGTCAGTTCTTAGTGTAGAGCTAACCGAGGGGAGACATAGAATGAGTAGAAGGTAGGGATCAGAGGCAGCATTCAGAGCTAGAGATACCTGAGTAGGAAGCATCTGGAGGGACTAAGGTGCCTGTACGTGAAAATCAGAATAAAAGAAGGACATCTTTCTTCCTGGGAGAAGCCAACATGAGGAAGTGTAGGTCAGCAAACAAGATGGTGACAAAGAAGAGAGTGCTAAGGAAGCAGGGAGGGAGTTCTGCAGGGAAGACAGCAGGGCTCAGGGAGTGTATAAGTCCCCAGGATGAAGAGGTGAGGGCAGTTAGGAGTAAAGACAATGATGCCTGTTTCTGATCCCCCAAAAAAACTCCACTTGAGAGGTGTGAGCAAAGTAAACAGAGGGAGCTGGTTATGACAAAGAGGTGCTCTCCCCAACCCCCTCCCCAGGACCCTCATACCTCCCCGCCCTTCAAAAAAGGGCAAAGAAAGGACTGTTATAATTTCTCAGTGTAAGGACCCAGACTGAGTTGTTCTGGGTACTAACCATCACCAAGGCCCATTTTTGTGTCAGCAGGTATGTTCTCATTTCTGCTTTGCTAAACACATCCCAATGATAATGCATCCTGTTGCAGCCATCCCACCTCTTCCTTATACCAGGCTAGAAAGAAATATCTACCACAGCAAACCTGAAAGAATCCTTCCATAGCAATGGCTATGAAAAGTTCTCAGAAGTTTAAAAAAATAACAAATGCATCATGACCCGCCATGCAGGCCCCACCATGCAAGCCAGTGTTCTCTTCACTACTTTACTTACTGTATTTGGTTTTGGTATGAATGGAGCAGTTCTCTGGACAGTTTTCAGAAATAAGCACAGGACTGAACAGATTTGGACAGCACTCCAGCTTGGCACAGACTCGGCGGCAGAAATCTGCTACTTGGTCAGACGTCCGTACAATCTTGGCCACAGCCCTGTATGTTTTGCCTCTGTACCTAGAAACAAGGAAAAGCAAAGGCACAAAAGCATAGTCACTCAGCCCTATCTGGGTAGCATACTCCAAAAGAAGCCCCTTTAGTCCCTAACAACAAAGCAGGTTGTGTATGATTTCCATTAAATGCGCTTTTATCATCCCTTAAGGTCTCACAAATTTTTTTTTTAAAGAATGTCCCAATATCACACATAATGTATGTCATAACAGTGCTAAAACGGAGTAAGTGCAATAAAGATTTCCATTTAACATACTCTCATTGTGCTATACGTAATTTAACACCGAATATTAGCAGTGTATGCTACAAGCCCAGTAGATATAAGCCTCAAAATGAAGTTAATAAAATGCAGTGCATATTTTCTTGCTACTATAATATTTAATTTTTGAAAAAGATGACTGCTTATAGAATCACGATTCCACTTTGAAGACCTTGCAATTTCTGAGCAATAGAAATGTTATCTTTATCAAGATTGGTGAAATGGGGACTATTTCCATTACTCATACATGACATCTTAGTTCATTTCAGCCGCCATACAAGATCCCATAAACTGAGCAACTTATAAACAACAGACATGTATCCTTCACAGCTCTGGAGGCTGGAAGTTCAAGATCAAGGTGCTGGCAGAGTTCACTTCTGGTGAGGAACTTTCCTGGTTCACGGTGTTTCCTGGTAAACAGTGTTCTCACACTGCAGAAAGGGGTGGAAGGAGCTCTCTGGGTCTCTTTTGTAAGGACACTCATCCCACCATGCAGGCTCTACCTCCTTGTGACTTAACCGGTCGAGGTCCTACCTCCTACTACCTTCACCTTTGGGTTAGGTCTCAACATATGAATTTGGGGACCACAAACCTTCAATTTATAGTAAATGGTATCTGTGCAGAATGGTGGCAGGTCACATTGAAAAGGTGAGAACACCTTTAAAAAGGGAAAAAATGAACAAAAATGCACAGAAGCCCAGGAAGCAGACTGCGGCAGAATGGGGGAGGATTTGCCTCACAGCCGCTTTAGTGCTCACAGTACCACAAAAGTCCTCATGGGAGTTACCATCAGTTAAAGGAAAGACTTCTGTATTTCTCATATATAAAAGGAGAAACATGAAATGATAAAGCCAGCAAGGTATCTTGCTCACTAGGGTAACCACCCTATCTCCCTCTCTAGACTGGGAAGGTGAAAACTTGCTCTGTGAATTAAGATTTGCTTCCTGAACAGGCAGATTGACTGAAATACTCTGTCTCTGGTGAATCCTCTAACCACCCCCCATACCTCTGGCTGTACCCCAAGTTCTTGTATGCATAAATTAATAAATCTTTAAAAAAATATGCTTCCCGAGATGTCCTGTGCACTTGCACTTGATCCATCCTGCCGATGGCTTTCATTTCTTCTGTAAAAGGAGTAGTGTAGCTGACGGGCCTCACACGGAAACTTTCCTGGTGTTAGGGGCTCAATTATCTCCCCCAATATGTTGAAATCTTAATCCCCAGCCCCTGTGATGCACGTGGAGATAGGGCCTTTAAAGGGATACTTAAGGTTAAATGAGCTCATATGGGTGGAGTTTCAGTCTAATAGGACTGGTGTCCTTTTTTTTTTTAAAGATTTATTTATACAAGAACCGGGGTACAGGCCAAAGGCGCGGGAGCGTGAGAGGATTCACCAGAGACAGAGTGGGGAGTAGAACAGGCAGACTGACTGAAACACACTGCTGAGGGGAGCATTGAGTGAAGACAGGAGAGGTTTGCTGCACCATGTGGGACCCTCACCGGCCGGCCGGGATCGAGCCCGCGTTGCAGAGGCTGCGGACAGCTTCACAGTGCGGGGCTCAACCGCCTGCACCACCAGGGAGGCCCAGGACTGCTGTCCTTTTAAGAGAGGAAGAAACAACAGGAGTGTGTGGCCAAAGGTGGTCATTTGGAAGCCAAGAAAAGAGGCCTCCCCAAAGATACCAACCTGCTGATACTGTAGATTTTGGACTTCCAGCCTCTGGAACTGTGAGAAATACACGCCTATTGCCAAGTTCCTAGTCTTGACTGTCCATTAGGGTACACCTAGCAGATTTATAAATACTACTGCCATAGCTCAAGAGGGAAAGTGGATCCCCAGTGTAGTTTGTAAATACCACAACATAACAACAACAAAATGTTGTTATGAAGATCATGGCTGTGGCTTCCTATGACTAATTCCCTTTTTTGGTTTATATTGTGTAATGATGATTCTCTGAGGTCATCCTTAAGTGCTTTTTCTTTTCTAGGGGAGAAGACCAGTCTAGACTAATAAGGATATTAAAGTTTTTTAAAAACTTTTCTTTAACAATAGAAAATGAGACCTGGAAATCCAAACACATTTTGTATTTATCTACAATGAACTGATTTCATGGTATGGGAATCTTAAAGATACAACTAACACTGCTTAGGAACATGGTTATTTTACTGCCAAACTCAAATATTAATTAATCTTATGTCATCCTCACAGCCTGTGTAACAACAGAAGAAAATGCAATATTGTTTCTTTCTTTGAGGAAATCAGATATGTTTTATGACCAATGAAAATCACCTGCCCTCTCCCTTAAACAAAAGAACTAGGGGTGGGAATACTTCCGGAATCTAGATATTCCCATTGTTGTTCATCTTGAGGGAAAACAAAAACAAAAACAAAAACAAAAAACGTGAAGACGTCATTCTCGAAAACAAATTGGATGGATTCTCGTTTTTAAAAATAGGTACTAAAGGGCCTCCCCTGGTGGTGCAGGCGGTTGAGCACCACGCTGTGAAGCTGTCCGCAGCCTCTGCAGCACCGGTTCGATCCCGGCCAGCCGGCGAGGGTCCCACATGGCGCGCAGACCTCTCCTGTTGCTCCCACTGCTCCCTTCAGCAGTGCATTTCGTCAGTCTGCCTGTTCTGTTCCCCGCTCTGTCTCTGGTGAATCCTCTCACCCTCCCGTGCATCTGGCCTGTACCCCCGTTCTTGTATGTATATATAAACAAATAAATAAATAAATAAATAAATCTTTTAAAAAAAATAGGTACTAAAGACCTCATCCAAATGTCTGTGGTCATAGTGACGTAAATAATACCTGGTTGAAAAGAGGTGCACTTGGAAATAAGTTAGAATCACTTTTCAATACATTTTTTAAAAAACATCATGGGTACAAAATAATAAAACTTTTTGTTAGACAACACATCATAGGTCTTTATTTAATTCACACCTTACTAAACTGAGAAGGCACTGAAAAGAAATGGTATCAAAATAGCTGTGCCTGTTCAGTGACACCCTTACTGGGTGTAACTTCCCCAATATCCTAATTGACAAGGTGAAAACTTTAACAACAATTTATTTTCCAGAACAATATCAGGGACTGGTAGCTTGAGCTAATAACACTTGTGTTACTTTTTTGTAAAACTAACCAAACTCCAAGGGAGCAAACCACCCAGATAAACAGACTGTTCGCTCGTGAGATGACCACATGCACCTTTGCCAAACCTGCTCTGTCACACCTGTACCTGCAGGTGCAATACCCACCACAAAGCACACCAAACAGGGCCTCAGGAAATTAGTGCAAGAAGGAAGCTAACATAAGGAGGTCATCGCTTTTATATTTTTGTGGGCAAAACATTAAGTTTCATACCTTGCCATTTTTTATATCCTTCGGAAGACGAGAAACATATTTTCCTCTAATAAATCATTTTTTTACACTATCAATAGCAAAAAAATTAAATTCGAACTTGAAAAAATTGAGCTGTATGTCCCTTCACTGGTCTTTCGCATCCCTGCCCTCTGAGTGCTTGTTCTTCCATTTCTCTGATGTGCCAAGCTTGATTTTCTGTGTTGTAAGAACTAGAAAGTGATTCTTTGTAGATAAGATCATGCTTTAAATCCCACAGCCTTGTACACAGTTGATTTTTCCAGGACCTGTATCGACCCGAGATGTAGAAATACATCCCCAGCCCCTCGGGGGAGGGGCTTCCTGGTTCACTTCTGGGTGGTTCTTGCTTTACTGCTTCTGCTGTGTCACACGATAAAACAGTACTCTGAGAACACGGCCTATTGCTACTATTTTAGAAAATCTACAATAAAAATACTTTATGGATACATTTTCTCTTGCAGTTTTTCCCCCTACAATTGTGGTGATTCTAGGGGTTTCTCTTCTAGAAAGCTCAATATCAATCAAGATTCTTAAAGTTCTTTTAAAAATAACAGAAACTAAAAAAGCAGGAGAAACGAGAAAAGAAAAGCAGGTCAGAATTCAAGCTGTAGAAGTAGGGCTCAAAGACAGATATTTATGCTCCCAGACCTGCAAATTTCCAAGCAGAAGCTTCTAGTGCACATTAAAGGACATCAGCACATCAGAAAAAAAGCCAACAAACACTCATAGGAGGCTAAAAGGGAAGGCTGTGTCCCTTCTCATTTGGGAGGATTCAGTGGAGGCAAGTGTTTTAGTAAAACGGTTCACAATAGGAAAGGCTAATCTGAATTTTTGAAAACTGCAGGTGCCTGACTGGGTGATGGGTGGGCTGTGTGGCAGCTACTGCGACTGCCGCCCCGCTGCTGGGGCTGCAGTTGGCAGATCCCTCTAGTTGTCAACCCCTTTGGGATTTGTCTCAACTACAAAAGCTCTCTGGTCCTCCCTTTCCCCAGACAGCTTCCCCATCATGACTACTATGGCAGAGGTCAAAGGCCTGGTCCTGTGGGCCGATCCCAGGACAACCATGGAGAACCATTTGAACTCCAGAGCTGCCCTGGGACTGTGGTGGATCATTCCCAAGCAAGCCGGCTCTATCCTCTCATTTCCACAGGGCTGGTTCCAAGAACCTGCCTTAATTACATTTCTCTGGGAAGGAAGCAGCCTGTGGTGGGTGAGGAAGGACATTATGGCGGCCCCTGCACTGGCCACTGTGCACCGGGCAGACAAGGACCTCTCCACCTAGAGACAACCCGGCACAGGTGGGATGGGGGGATCTGGCCTTGAATGCTGGAGCCCCAGTTGAGTGAGGAGAAGAACAAAGAGACAAAA